AGGGTTGGTTGATGGTGAAGTTCAAGCTTCACATCTTGGAATTTATTTTGGTCACAGAAGAAGCAGCCCCAAGTTCTAACAGTACGACTGACACGGTGGTTTCACGAGACTGCTTCATTGACCAGGTTTGAAAGGCAACATGTCAATGCGAGAAGTGACGACAAAATGCTGGCGTTCTGTCCCTGATTACAAGTGACAGAAATGAGTGGACAGCAGGTGTTCAGTGGAAAAGCAACTGTCCTACTCATTTCTGCCCTGGAGCCCCATCCGCAGCAGGCATTTGAATATTATTTACTGAGACTAAGCTCCCCATGTGGGTCACCCGCGGGCTACCATCAGCCTTTGGAGTGCATTCCCGTGAACACGCAGAGAGCAGCGAGCAAGCCGAGTCCCCACGGAACCCTCGTGAGAACGAAGGCTGCTCCAGACCACGCCACTTACGTTCCATACCTGAGAGTCGGGAGGGAGGATGAAACACACTTTGTTTGTTTTCAACATTTTTATTGATTTAGAGCAGTGGTTCTCAACCTTCCTGATGCCGCGACCCTTTCATACAGCTCCTCATGTTGTGGGGACCCCCAACCGTACAATTATTTTTGTTGCTACTTCATAACTATGATTTTGCTACTGTTACGTCTTAGGTGACCTCTGTGAAAGGGTCATTCGACCCCCAAAGGGGTCATGACCCACAGGTCGAGAACCGCTGATTGAGAGAGAGAGAGAGAGAGAGAGAGAGAGAGAGAGAGAGAGGGGAACATCTATTGGCCACCTCCTGCACGCCCCCTACTGGGTGGGCATGGAGCCTGCAACCTGGGCATGTGCCCTGACCTAGAATGGAACCAGTAACCTTTTGGTGCAACCAACTGAGCACCACTGGCCAGGGCAAGACACACTTGGATGCTACCTTAAAATATATTTGAAACTTAATATTTAAATTAAAAACAAAACAAAAGCAAAAAACGACATTATTTTGCTTTTATTAATTTAAATAAATTTATTTTGGCATACAACAATTTTAAAACTATTTGCTATTGAGCAAAATTGACACCACCCCTACCCAGGTGGGAGAACCTTATTTATCTTGTAGCTTTGAAAACCCACAATCTTACTACCAAAGGATTCTCTAGACCTATTCCGAACCCCTGGTGAAGTTTTCTTCTCTTGTTTAAAGAAAAAAAAAATATCCCTTTGACAGCTAGGTAATTTGAAAAGCAAATCATGGTTAATGTCATGGTCTGATGTCTCAATGTATATCGGTTTTATCGGGGTATCTTCGAGATAGTTCTAAAGGTGAGGATTTCAGAAACAATCCTAGGAGCTGGTGGAGATGTTTTTAGTCAAACACTTAAGTTCCCTTCTGATGCCCATGAAATTACACCAATTCCAAGACACCCCAGCCCGCACAGGCCCTGCCTGTCTCCACTGTCTGTCTGATACTAATTCTACTGCGGAGGAGAACCCCTTCCGTTAGGCGCTGACTTTAATCCAGGCATTGTGCCGCATGCTCCGTAGTCTTCCCTCATGTAATCTTCACAACAATCTTCAGAGAAAGGCGGTTCATCCCCATTTTACGGCTGAGAAAACTGAGGCTTAGAGAAACTGGGTGCTTTTCCTGAGTCACCCTCGCCACGTGGTGGTCCCAGGCCTTGAATCCAAGCAGTCTCGCTCTGGAATCGTACTTTTTCCAGTGATGCCACGCAGGGTGTTACGTCACCTCTAGGGAGGAGACTTGGTTGGTATGACTTAAACGTTTTATTTTTGAGGTTATTAGTCAGTAATCCCAATTATTTCTGCCTCATTTCACAAACTCTAAGTTTAGTCTCTAACTGCTTAGGGTCCTTTTAATTCTCGCCCATATTTCTCAAAACCCTAAAAAAGATCTGATCAGATTAGCTGTCATTTTAAAAAAATTTTATTGATTTTAGACAGAAAGAGGTGGGGGAAACATGGACGTAAGAGAGAAACATCAACTGTTTGCCTCCTGCATGTGCCCCGGCCAAGACCGAACTGAAAGCTAAGTGTGTACCCTGACCAAGAATCAAACCCATCACCCTTCAAATGGACGAAGCTCCAACCAACTGAGCCACACCGGCCAGGGCAATGAGCACTTATTTTAAATATGTTTTGTTTGTTTTTCTACTGATTTTTTTTAGAACGAAAGAAGGGAGAGGGAAAGAGAAAAACATTGATCTGCTCCCTCCTGCACACCCCCTACAGCCCGGCCCCTACTGGGGATCAAGCCAGCAACCCGCGCACGGGCCCCAACTGGAAGTCGAACCAGTGACCTTTTGGTGCGTGGGACGATGCTCAGAAGACTAAGCCACACCAGACAGGGCTGCACTTACTTTAAATGTAATTCGCCAGTGACAGCTGTTTTCTCCATCTCTGCATTCGCCTTGATTTGACATGAAGAGCAATAAATATCACCATGAGATTCATCACACATGAAAATTAACTTTAACCTTACCAGTGGCAGTGGTGTTGATCACCATTAATTTAAACCCTGGAGGAGATCAAATATTTACTAACCCCCCAAAAAGAAAGGGAAAGTTCCCAGTAATTAAAGCCATACATATTATAAGTATGTTTTAACCCTACGTTATTTCAATAAGATATAACTTTACAATTTCTCTTTTATTTTTTTCTTCAATATATTGCAATTTTCTAGAAGCCCAGATATGTACGTGTGAATATACATATATACATATACACATGCAGATACACACACACACTATTATCTGATCTTGAAAACTGAGCAATTTAGAGAAATGTCTCTGCAATAAAAAACAGGATTTTAGAATCAGATATTTATCATAAGTTTAACTGTATGAGCATTAACCAGTGAATCAGTATATATTCATTACTGTGCAAAGCCCTGAGGGTCACACTGAGGGGCTACGTGAGACTAGAGACTGGGATGTGGTGTCCCAGCACCGCCTTCCCAGGAAGGGAGCACAGGAGGCAGGTGGATGCTACCCACGTAAAGAAGATGGGAGAGAGGCTGCAAAGCTAAACTGGGGCAGGAGAGATTGAATGCAGGCAAAGAAGCCGGAGTAATGAGTCTGAACTATGAAAATCTGATGAGACCGAGCTATGAGCCAACACAATGTGATTTTTCCAGAGATCTGTTTCCGGAGATCTGTTTGTGCAGATTCGAAGATAGCGCTTAAGGAGGGAGGGAGGAAGGGAGGGAGGGAGGAAGGAAGGAAGAAAGGAGAAAAGGAAAGAAAAGAGAGAGAGAAAGAGACAGAGAGAGAGAGAGAGAGAAAGAAAGAGAAAGGAAGGAAAGAAGGAAGGAAGAGAGAGAAAGAAAAGAAAAGAAAAGAAAAGAAAAGAAAAGAAAAGAAAAGAAAAGAAAAGAAAAGAAAAGAAAAGAAAAGAAAAGAAAAGAAAAGAAAAGAAAAGAGAAAAGAAAGCTGGAAACAAGGAGAAGGATTGTCTGAGTACATACCAGGTGGATCATTGAGAGGCTCAGACGGAGGAGGGCCTGGGCTGACTCCTGTCGCTGTGATCCCTGCAGGCTTCTCCCCCTCTTCCCTTGGGTCACCTACCCTGTGCCACCTGCATTCTGTCCAGGCCGTGAGTCCTCCTTCGGGGGGCACTCTTGTCCTTCCAAGCCCTTCCTGCGGGGAGACTGGATTGGTTGTTGGTCGTGGAACTGAATTGAATGCAGTTGGATAGTCCTTACCTCCACCACCTGTAAACACGCCCCCTCATCCACTCCTTCCCTTTCTTTGAATTTCTCAAGTACAAAGACACAGCAGCTTTGAAACAGTAAGCATTAGGGGACACTCACGTTGAACGTGGCTCTTGACTCCGGGAGGTTGTACCACTCACCAGACAAGGTACCGGCTCTCCCGGGGCCGGCACCGGGCCCTGGCACTGTGCCCAGCCAGCTTCAGTCCCCTGGGGCAGGAGGGGCAAGGCGAGGGGAACCTCAGCACGTCCTCCTGCCCTTCCCAACGGGCTTCAGCAAGAAGGAGAAACAAGCAGCGACCCAAACCCCCAGCGCCCCGCGTTCTTCCTTAGGTTCAATTTCCAGCGTACACACCCCCCAATTCAGCCTACGTGAACTAGCCCACGCACGTTCAGTTCCACGGGGCTGCGCTCGCTTCTGCTCCCCGTTGCACGCATCTCTTTTCTTTTCCCTCCCCGTCTCACGTCTCCTCCCCTCCCGCTCCTCACACGGCCCCCAGGAGCCTGTCCGCAAACACCCTCTAATCCCGAATCGCCACCAACGCAGCGAATCCTGCCGGGCGCGAGCAGAGCCCTCGGGGGCGTGTCGGGGAGGCTGCGCCCCACGCGCCGGGCCCGCCCCTCCCCGTGAGCGGCGGCCGCGGCCAAGTTCAAGTGTGCGCAGGACAGGGACAGGGACAGGGACAGGCTCCCGGACCTGCTCACTGTCGCAGATCGCCGGCGCCTTGGGCGCAATCGGACCCAGGACAGCAGCCTCCCCGAAGGCCCGGGGGCCGGCACTTTAAAAGTGCCCTGCCTGCCCCAGCCGGGGAGCGAGGGGTGTGGAGGCGGAGCCAAGGGGCGGGCAACACCCTCCCGAAGGGCCAGCCCTCGCCCATCTTCCTACCACCTTAGGGAGTTGGCAGCGACGGCGGGATCACCCTCTCCGTGAAACGCAGATGTCCCTTTAAGGTTTGCTTCCCAGCCGGTGGACTTTAGCCTAAACACGGGCCCGCGAAGCTGGCTTTATTTGTCCATGTCTCGGACAGAGCCTGGGAGGCTGCCAGGCACTTCCGAGAGAAAAGCGCGAAGGGGCGGGCGGCGTGGCACTGCGTCTGGATGTGACCGGCGTGGAGCGGACTTAGAAGCATTCGTGGAGAACACAGGGGGTCACTGTGCGGCTCCTGGGCGCCCCGGCCGGCGCGCCAGCGACTGAGACCCGAGCGGCGGGCCGGCCGAGTGGCCCAGCGCGCGGCTCCGCTCCGCGTCCTGCCCGGCGATCCGGCGCGTCCCCAGCTCCCCGGCCGCCCTGGCCATGGCCCCCCGGCGCCCAGCCCGCGCGGAGGTCGCTGTCGCCTGCTGCTGGCTCCTCACCGGTGAGTGACCCCGCTTTTCGTGAGCATCTCCCGTGCGCGCGGCTCGGGGGCTGTGGCCCAGAGCGCAGGGGCCACTGTGACCCACTCTCGGGCGCTGCGGGTCCTCCGGGCAGGTTGGAGGACCGAAAGGAGTTGCTGCGTCTGGCATTTGATAGGAATCCGTTTTGTAGTCGTTTCGCAACCCTCCGCCCCAACGGTGGGAGCGAGGCTGTGCTGATAACTTTACAAGGTGAAACTGACTTTGCAAATTAAAGTTGTTTTGAGAATTTACCCTGGAGTAGGACTTTGCTGCGGGGCTGCCCCCCCACCCCACCCCCGGAGGGAAGTAACTAGAGGGCGCCTGGTTTATAGGCCAAGTTCCTACCCTCAGGGTGCAGGGTGGGTAGTCCTGCCTTTTCCTGCTGCCAAGTTTTCAAATCTTTTCTGCCGCACAGGGAAGGGGAGGCAGGGGAGGCCAGACGCTTCTCGGCCTGAACTGTGTTCCTGTGTCAGCACCGGGAGGGGAGACTTGAAACTGAGGAAGGAATAGTGAACATTTACTCTGTAAATATCACAGAGCTGATTTTTTTTAAAAAAAATGCAAAATACAGTATTGTTATTTGTGTATACATAGGTACTTTTGAGGAGGGACTTAAAAAAAAAAACACAGTGGTGATGCCAAGTTGAATCCAATTTAGAGAAAGGTGGAATCGTAGTATTTTCTAAGGTTTTCCAGGTGGTGAACCCGTGGTCAGACCTTTTCTACCAGTTGCTGATTGAGGAGGGGAAGTTGCAGTGGGGAACGAGGGGAGGCCTATGGGTGCAGTTTTGTTTTTAAAGGATGACCTGATGAGTGGTTTAATTAATGGTTGACTTCAGCATATCCATATATATATGTCATCAGTATCCGGTCGTTCAGCGTCTTCACCGTTGGCGTACTTATTAGTAGCAGTTAATTTAGCTCTTTTCCACTGAAAGCAGAGTGATCCAGCCGGTTTAGCTTGGCTTAGACGGCCAAGCACTGTTCACTTTTATGAAGATCACTTAGAAATGGGTTGTTAGCAAGCACAGCCCCCCACCCCCACCCCGATGGTAGAAAGAGAGTTAATTATGAGTTACTGACTTTTCATCCAAACCTTTTCCACTACTCAGGAAACATTCAGTAATCCAAACAGTGACGACCTCGGAATAGCTCTAGAGGTAGTGAATGGTTTAATTTATCAGCTACTGTCACTGCCCTTGACACATACGACCTATGATGCTTTTTCCAGCTCACATTTTTTGGAGGTCACTTGCCTGTTTTTCTTGTGCAAAATCTGAATAGCTTACTCACTTGTAAAATAGTACCTTTTTTCATTTCACCATGTAAGCAGCCACTAATGCAGACATGACCCACTAATATTTGCATGTCCTATAAAAAGACAAGACTGAGACGTAAAAGTATTGGTTAAGAAGTTACAATTTCATAGACATTACTTATATATAGTTTTGTTATTTATGCATAGAATTATTTGCCTACCCACATATATGTAGAAGTTTCTTTTTCAGGCCCACTACTTTACTCTCCACGCCTACAGGTGTCACGAGTTGTGTGCTGTGGCTTTTCTGTAGTTGTTGGGGTGATGTGCCTTGCTGAGTCCAGGGAGGGATTTGAAAGAAAAGAGTGCATAAATATTTCAAAATTATAACATTTAATTCCCTTTTGTGGGTGTGTATCTCTCTGTATGTTGTGCAATCACTGAAACTTAGAATTTGAAAAGTTGCGATGTCAGAATCAAGAGGGTCTGAGATTTGACTGTTCTTCCTGTTCTTTGCTAGTTCCCAGCCACTCATCATGTTGTCTGCTTCCCTGGAAACTTCCCGATACCTCGAGCCCACACCTAACCTGGGGCTCATCTCCACCCACGCACGCACACGCCTGCAGACAGCTCTTGTCTCCCATCTGAACCCAACCTCTCATCTATCTTGCTAACAAGTCACTTTCATTACATCTGAGTCTTTAGTCAGGAAACTCCGGTGGTTCTTGTTGTCTTCAGATAAAATCCAAAGTTCTCAACCCACCATGCAGGGGTCGCCCCAACCCAGCGCCCTTTGCCTCCCAGACTCTCCTCTCCGTTTCCGGGGCTCTTGTAACAGATTTCCTCGGACCTCTTGGCTTAAACAAGACCAGCGTACTTACTGCCGTACAGTTCTGTAGGTCGAAGTCTCACTGGGCTGAAAGTGGTGTCAGCACCGGTGTGTGTTCAGGAGGTTCTGGGAGAGAATCCATCCCAGCTTCCAGAGGCCGCGGGCAACGCCAGGCTGGTGGCTGCAACCCAGCCCGCAGAGCGGCACTTTCAAGTCTCCCCTCTGACTCGGACTCCACTGCCTACTTCTTGTAAGGACGCTTCTCGAGATCTTGGGCCCCCGGGAATCCAGGCTGGCCTCCCCTCTCAAGGTCCTTAACCGAATCACACAGGCCAGGTCCTTCCTCCCGTATTCAGTTTCCAGGGATTGGAACATGGACATCTTTGGGGGACCAGTACTCTATGTATTTAAAGCCCTGAATATCCCTGGCCTGTGTGGCTCAGATGGTTGGAGGGTTGTCCCTCACCCCAAAAGGTGGTGGGTTCGATTCCAGGTCAGGGCACACACCCAGGTTGCAGTTTTGATCCCCTGGTTGATCCAGAGGCAGGCAACTAATTCTCTCTGGCATAGATGTGTGTGTGCGTGTGTGTGTGTGCGTGTGTGCGTGTGTGTCTCCCTTCCTCTCTCTAAAAATCAATTTTAAAAAGTTTTTAAAGGGAAAAAAAACCTGTACATAAAGTTCCCATGATAGCAGTCAGATTTCCTTACTTTGCCCATAACTCTCCTGCTCACTTTGCTACAGCGAATGCAATCTCGTTGTTTTAAGCATCTAGAAAAGAAGCCCACCCTTCCTTCCCACCACCACTGCCATCTAAACAAACCTTCTCGACTTCAAAACGGGTTCACATCACAACAAACCGCCACCATCCCAGTACATTTCCATGAGGTTGGAACTGTTGCGTACTGGCATTTTCCAGTATTTAAACACCATTCATTAGGAAAGGTGTCCTCCCTTCTGTCCAAATACAGTCTTCATTGTTATTTTGTGCATGTCAAAGTCCCCGCAAAAAAACTAGTATAACAGAGAAAGGATGTAGCTGAAGAACAGCCATTACCATTCTGGGCCTGAGGAGGGAGCAATGTCAGGTTGAACTAGGACTCTAGCTGTGGGACGGGCCCTGGGGACTGGAGCTGTGGCCCTGGGGGACCCGAACTGAAGCCCAGCAGGGAGGAAGCAGGGGACAGAATTACCCCTTTACCTCCCATTCTCTAATTTTGTACCCAGCGCTCCCCACTGGCCACGTCCAAATGGCAGAGTTCAACCTCCCAGGGGACAAAGGTCATACATACAATAGAGAAAAAGCAATGCAGCTTAATGCTGGGAGGCGCGTATTTATCGACAACGTATAACGTATGAGCCCCACACCAAGAACCTTGCATGGATTATTTCATGTCAATCTTAGAAAAAGGAAAAGCTTCGCAACTATTATTCATATTTTGGAGATGAAGCAACCAAACAAGGTTAGATTAATTTGTCCGAAGTCACACAGTCAGTAAATGGCAAACCGTGTGTTCGGCTCAGACCTCTGACTTCAGATCTCATGCTCTGAAAGTTTTAGCACCCCACAGGTCCCATGGGTAACTGGATGGCAGAGACCCTGCTGTGTTGTGCAGGCCTCTCTGGTGCTTTGCCACCCCACAGTCCCTGTGTGTAACTAGATTGCACAGTCCCTGCTGGTTGTGCAGGCCTCCTTCTCGCTTGACCCTCTCGGTGTTAGACCCAAGAGTTGTCTAAAGAACTTAGATAAGCATTGAATTAAGGATGCAAGTGAGTCTGTTATTTTCATGATTTTTAGGCACAACGTGAAAACAGATGATGTCTTCCCCTCCATTAAGTATAACTCAAATGAGAATACTATGTCTCTGGTTATTCAGAACATAAATGTAGAAAGCCCCTAATAAAGTTATAAGGCTCTCCTTCCTACCATTTTAACTAGCCTAGAAGTGGGGTCTTCATGGGACCGGTTTCCTACTCGAAATGAAGTCCAGAGAGGCGGTGGCTGAGTGTGGGACAAAATCACAAAAATGTGACCTCCGATGGCACCCAGTGGATTGTCAGGAATTGCGGAAGATGGTGAAACTCTTCGGTCACTATAATATATGCAGACAGAGCAATAAACTTGAAGGATTATCTTTTTATTTGTTTGTTTAGTAAGTAGGCAGGGAGAGTAGCAGTGGAATAATAAACTAGTTCGCCTGTTTTTCCTTCCCTGGTGCTATTTTGATGCAGGGGCTCTTGGACCACAGCTTGTAACCGATGGCCTGACCTCCACAGGCGGATGCCTCTCTGCTTGTGTTTCATCACCTCCAACCCAACAAACCTCCCTTAGATTTTTAACTTGAGGACTTTTCATGTGCCCCTTAAAACATTTAATACCATAAAGTAGCTCATGCTTAAAATGCAGGGTGGGCCCAGCCGATGTGGCTCAGTGGTTGAACATTTGGATCCCTAATTTTCTGAATATAGGGTGGTGTAAAAGTAGCTTTGCAGTTGTGCAGATGCAAACTATAGTTTATTCTTGTACTGTTGTTTATTCATTACTGTCTTATTTGCCATAGGAACAACTGTAAACCCACTTTTACACCACCCTACATTCAGATAATTAGGGATCAAAATGCTGCTTTGTTGTTGTTGATCCTCACCCAAAGATCTTTTTCCAGTGATTTTTCAGATAGAGTGGAAGGGAGGGAGGGAGAGAGAGAGAGAGAAACATTGACTGGCGGGGATCAGACCTGAGACCCAGGTATACTCCTTTGACCAGGAATTGAACCCACAACCCTTTGGTTCGTGGGCAGATGCTCTAACCACTGATCCTAACTGGTCAGGGCTCACAATGCTATTTTTCACCCTCCCCTGTTCTTCTGTCGTATGAAACACAAAGTAGGGCATTTGA